CTTGAGGTGCTCCATCCACCTCCATTTCTACTACTTGGTGCTCTTCTGCTGTCTTGTCTACTTCTGTCGGCTTAGATATTTTTAACTCTTTCAATGCTTCTTCTACTCCATCTACTACTACTTTTACGCCGCGTGCTTCTACCAGCTCTTTTATCTTCATGAGCAAGTAACTTTTCTGGTCTGGACTTACTTCGAGTAAGCGTTTAAAACTGCCTTTAACCACAGAGATGTTTCCAGCCTGAAAAGTCTCTCTTTTTTCTTTCCATTTTAGTAACTCTCGATCATTAGCTAGACAATTGATGTCATGCCTTACACGTTCTATCCCTTCCATTTTTTCTTTTTCTATTTGTTCGTAGTCCTGTGAGTTTGGATCAGCTGTTTTTTTCCATTCTTCTAGCTCTGCTTCTTTTGCGCTAAGTTCTTTATTCTTTATTCTAGAAGATTCAGAGTTTTCCTTCTTTTTTCTTCTTATACTGCGTTTTTCATCATCTACTATTTTCTCTAATTCTGTTTTAACTATGTAGTCTTCACAAAAATTACTCAAATCTCCGTTTATCTTCAATATCTTTGTCCCATTCTTCTCTTCCAAGAAATTCTCGAGATTTAGTATATACTCTAATACTTTAATCATACAACTGTGTATATCTTTTTCCTTCATAATGGGCCCGATATTATCGTAGATAGAAACAGCTATATTCAAGTCTTCTTGTTTAGTAAATATTTTTTTAATTTCTTTTTCAATTTTGTTATGTGCACTATTGTCAGAGCTGGCTTTTGCTTCTTTAGCTTTCTCAATTAAGACACTATAGCATTGTTCAAAAATAAGGTTTAGTCCATAGTCTATCAATGGTATGTCAGTTCCTTCGTATCTCTTAGTGTACAGCTCATCTAGAGTGTAGTATGTTTTGTCTGTTGCATATTTTTTGAAAATATCCATATCATCTATTCTATATAAAATAGACCTGTAAAAGAGAAGTTCCCTACCTAGGTTACCTAAAGTAAACCAACGTAGGTTTTCTATGTTCGAGAACTTTGCATCATCAATCTTTATCGTGCATGTTCTAGGGCTTAGATCAATGCTTTGATCCTCTCGAAGAACATTCTCAGGTGCTTCATTCTTGTCGAACTGCTTATATATTCCGTGTTCTGGATTGTATATGAATATATTCAACCCTATAACTGTGTTGATTATAGCAGCACATTTTTTTCCGATGAATTCATCGCTATTATTACCCTCCAATGCTTTATAAAAGTCATACATAGCACCGCTTTCATTTTGATCATCAAAGTGCATAAAGTGCATAAAGTACCTACAGATGTTATTCTTAAATGTGTTCAAAATTTTCTGTTTTTCTTCATCGCTGTAGGGTCCTTCTATTTCGATGTTCTTATTAAATATCTGTTGTATTACAGAGAAGCGGCATAATTCAAAACTAGTTATACCAATAGTTTTTACAATATCTTTAATTTCGCTAGA